ATCATATTAACTCATGAAATTTAAATGCCACACATGTAAAGTACTTAGCAGGGACCATGGAAACTGCTCATATGACACTATGACTCCATTGCTCCATCTCATCTCCCCAGTTCGTTAAATCTCTTATTTTCTTTGGCCTCCAACTTTTAACACTGTTTCTTCTTCTCCCATACATTCAACAATCTGATTGGGCTCCCTTCTCTATTATCAGGGACATCTCAAAAATGGTTGATCCCCTCAAAGGATTCAAGCCTAAAAAGAGTATAATAAAGGAACTACTTACAAAGACATGGACTGGGTTAAGAAACCAAAGATGGTGGGCCACCAATGAATGGGAAATCATGCTTTAGGTTTAAAATACAAGAGGGACAGGGGTGTCACTGGAGCCAGGTGGCAGTTAAAGCTGTGGTCTGAGAGGAAAGCAGCCCCCCTAGAACAGCAGTAAGACAAGAAGGGAGTAGTGTGTGCATAAGGGAATAATCCAATTTCTTTCTCCTCCTTCCCTCTAATCTCTTGCCAGGGACTCCCATTGGCTGAACCCAAATGGAAGCAAAATAATAACAGAGCCAGATGATAGATGCAGTCAATAGAGGTCAGTTTTGCTGGGGGCAAAAGCAGGGCAAAAGCAGAAAACAGATGGTGGAGTTGGGTTGGGGCAAAATGTGCTGTTGTTTTTTGCATAAGTGGGAGAAGTATGGGAAGGAACTGAAACATCTCAATGGAAGAGTCTCATTGCCCCCATGACAGGTGAATGAAATGAAACTCAGAGGTAGTGAATTGCCAAAGTTTTCAGCTAGAAAAAGGAACCAGATTCAGATCCTTAAATGGTGCCTCAGGCCTATGCTGTTTCCCACTATACTGCATGGATCTGCTCAGTGTCACGGCTGAAATTATCTTGGTCTCACCTAAATAATTTCTGCCCTGAGATAAACCAAGGGTAGGAGATAATATCTTGTTTTTTGTCCCTATTTTAGTCCCCTACTCACCTGGTCTAAATCCATTCATTGTGGTTTTCTAATCATTTCTCAGAGAGGGTTTCTTAAAGATTAATTTTGAAAGATGATAATAACCAAACTAGATCCCCTCCTTTTTAGAGAGAGGGAAGGTTATATCTAAGATATGAAGGCATCTGAAAGAGAGAGATTGAGAGGGAGAGAGAGAGAGAGAGAAGAGAGGAAAGAAGCAAGGAAAGAGAGGAAGGGAGAGAAGGGGAGAGGAGGGGAGGGGAAAGGAACAGAGAATGAGAGATGTAGGAATAGAAGTTTTGCAAAATCAGTTTGAGGAGCATTATTTGTAATAGCTAAAAACTGGAGACTAACCAACTGTGTATTAACAACAGCAGAATGGAAAAACAAATTGTGGAATATCTATGTAATAGGATATTATACAGGAAGAGAACTGAAATTGAACACACACAAAAAAAAAAATGAATGAAACTCCTAGATCTAGTATTAAGAGGAAGAAGTCAGATTCCATTCATAAGATCTCAAAAGCAGGCTGAAATAATCTATGGTGTTAGAAGATAGGATTGTGGTTATTTAGGGTCTGGGAAATGACTGGAAAAGGGGCTTCTGTGTTGTTAATAATTTTCTTATTTTTGTCTATTTGTTTTTGTTTAATCTGGTTGGTGGTTGTACAGGTGTGTTCCTTTTGTGCAAATTTGTTCAGCTTCTTGCCCCTTATGATTTTTGCCCTTTTCTATATGCACAGACACGCAAGTTGAGGTAACTAGTTGCATTAGTCAGTTTGCTGCAGTAAAAAAAATCAATCTCCCCAAATCTCTGTGGCTTACAATACAATTATCTCTTTATAGTAGGCAGAATTCTAAGAAGGCCCCCAAGGTCTCTATCCCTTGGTATTACTCCTGCGATTATGTCATGTTACACAGTAAAGTGATTTTGCAAATGTAATTAAGTTGATTAATCAGTTGACTTTAAGATAAGATTATCTGGGTAAACTTAACCTAATCACATGCACCCTTTAAAAGTAGAGAGTTCTCTCCAGTTGCTGCTCAGAGATCTCCCAGGGGAGGGAGATTCAATGTGCCACTTCTGGCTTGAATATGGAAGAGCCACACTCAAAAGACCTGAGAACAGCTGCTAGGAACTGAGAGCAACCCCTAGCCAACAGCCAACAAGTAAATAGGTCTTCAGTCCACAGCCACAAGAAAATAAATTCTGCCAATGACCATTAAGCTCAGAAGAGAACTCCAAATGCCAAATGAGAACGGCAGCTGACACTCTGATGATATCAGCCCAGTGAGACCCTGAGCAGGGTACCCAACAGGGCCACTTCCATATTTATCTGACCTACAGAAACTGTGAGATAAATATATTTGTGGCTTGAAGCTGCTAAGTTTGTGGTAGTTTATAATGCAGCAATAGAAAAGTAACACACACTTGCTCACGGTTTGGCAGCTTTGTGTTGGCAGCTGTTGAGATTCTGCCCAGCTTTCCTTCACATGTCTTCACAGTTTGACCCATACTGAAGGAGCTTCCCCTATTTGGGACATTCACAGGACAGAGGGAAAAGAGCAAGTAAGCAGCTCACATCTGGTCACACTCTGGTGGCCAAACCAGGTCACACAGCCATGCCTAAAGGCAATGGGGCAGGATGTATCATCTTATAGAAATGGAAAGATTGAGTAATTTTGGAAAATAATACAGTCCACCACCATGGAACATTATAACTCTGGCTTGACAGGAAAGAGCAAAGTCTTAGCGGTCAGGAAGACTTGAGTAGGAATTTTGGTGCCATTACCTTACTGGCTGTGTGAAATTAGGGCATTTCCTAATTTCTCTGAGCCTCAGTCTCTTAAATGGTAAATACATGCCTTAAAGAACTAGTGTAAATGTTAAATGTACCAGTATAATGCCTGAGAGATATTCTAATATATGTTGGTAAATATTAGCTTCAGACTCTTGTCTCAAGGACTCACAGAATATAATTCTTCCAAAGGGAAAAGTCAGGGAATGGAAGTCACATCTTAACACACTCCCTTTTCCTCATTTTCCTAATAAAACTAATGCAGAATCCCAAAGGCATAATTCCTTTATGTGCTATATCTCTTTGAACATTGTAGTAATAAATCATTTATACTAAAGGGACTATGGTATTACTCTTCTGAATGGGATTATTAAATACAATCAATATCAGAGGTGGGATTACTTTATAATTACATTTCTAAGTGATGATTCACTGTAACATCTATTTCTGGTTTGTGAAAATGTTGTCATAAAGCCACTGTCATTGCAGTTGAAAAACTGGGCAAATCAAACAGGTAATAATACTTTTGTCCTCGGACTATTTAGACCTTCCTTTTAACTGCCCTGATGGTTGTAAACACTATTTCAGGTTTCTATTTCACAAATATTTGTCACTTTTTAAAAAATGTTTGTTTTTGAGAGACAGAGCATGAATGAAGGGCAGAGAGAAAGGGAGACACAAAATCTGAAGAAAGTTCTGGGCTCTGTGCTGACAGCGGGGCTTGAACCCATGAACAGAGCCCAACGCGGGGCTCAAACCCACAACAGTGAGATCATGACCTGAGCAAAAGTTGGACGCCCAACCAACTGAGCCACCCAGGTGCTCCAATATTTGTCACTTTTAAAGTAACTATTACGAGTTGTTACTGTTTAAGCCTCAATCCACAAGTTAAGGTTTTAATTTTTTTCTTATTACACAAAAAAATTACCACCTCTTTCTTGATCTCTGTCTCTCTGTCTCTGTCTGTCTCTCTTGCACGCCCCCCCCCCACACACATACATACACACACACACACACACACACACCATGAAGTCAGTACACTTTCATCAGAAAAAGGAATAAAAGCTAAGTCACTCCAAAAAAAACACAAAAATTTATGAGCTGAAGATAATTGCAGTCAACATTTTGGTGCATAATCTTCCAATTTTTTCCCTGAATATTTAGATAATTAGATAATATATGTTCGCATTTCTGTATATTTACATTTATTTCTTTCACAAAAATGGGGTGACATATACTATTTTATAGCCTGCTTTTTCATATATATATATATGTATATATATATATAATATATATATACATATATATATATAGACACACCACTGCTTTAATGATTTCATTTAATAATTCTATGTATATTTTTCAACCAGTACCTTATTATTGGATATTTAGATTATTCGTCAATTTACTATATTCCAGCCTCTTAAACAGAACTTCCACTAGCCCATACATATGAATTAGAGGAAGCCTATGTGTAGGGCTTGCTGGCCAAGGCACTAGCTGGATTTTGGAACTATTCACCCCGACTTTCCCCTTTGATCAGATCCCAAAGATTGTAGCTTTGCTCTTAAATATCCAAATATATACTGGAAACGTTAAAGAACAATAAGCATAGAATCTCTTTCAGAATGGATGAGCCTGTTGAAATCTCCAGCCATTTTGTATTATCAAGATGATAATATATCAGATGATATATAAAAGTGTCTGCATCTTGGTTTATAAACTGCCCTTTCCACGATTTGTCTTTATTGACTGGTTAATTTCTTTGTGAAAGGGCATCACAACTGATTAAAGTGCTATAGATTTTATAGTTCATAGAGGCACAGAGTGTACTCTTCCCAGTGTCATCACAAAGGTGCCCCTGTGATTAAAGCACTCAGGTGGTGTCTTTTTTTTTTTTCCCATAACAAAAACTGAAAAGGCAGCCTTGTGTTCTGACTCTTCTTTTGCTCCAAAGAAAAATGATTGCTTATAAAGTCCCCAAAAGAATGGCCAACAATGACTTTTGAAAGCCCTGAATGAGCCATTGTTAATAGAAATATGACTACTTTTATGTGTAAAACAATTACATTATCTATTATCTATCTATCTATCTATCTATCTATCTATCTATCTATCTATCTATCGATCTATCTTAAACATATAAGGATTCAATGCACGTTTCTATTGGTCTCTGTTAAGAAGGCCTTTGGGGAGACTGGGAGGCTAATTACTAGGAGCTGGTGAACACTGACCTCTAACTTGGGCCCCTGGTCCCAGCCTTCCATTGTCTCCCTCTGGGCTCCAACTGCTGTTCTTCTGATGAATATTCTATTGTTGGGCTTTTCAGAGAGGAGCTGTTAAAGGAAAGGGAAGATTATTTGCAAGTGGGTAGGAAAATGTTCCAACAAAGAATGAAATGAAGTAATTAGCGTCCTTTTATATATAAGCACCAACCCAACACTGTTGCCAAATCTTCAGGCTGTAGTGACTGAAGAAAATAATGACATTGCTGATGCAAAGCAGAGTCACCTGTAGCCACTGACCAATCATGGGTAAAGCCACCCTCCTCTTTACCCCAGGGGAGGATGGCAGGTGGCGATGCCTGTAAATTTATGCTAAGATATTTCTCATCTTATTAAAATCTTTTAAAATGAGGGGCACTTCTTGAATGGGAAAACTATGTAAAACAATAAGCCCTAAGGGAACTAAAAGTTTTTAATATGACATACCCCTTTAAAAGTAAGAAGTTGAGAGATCTGTGGGTTTGTGTTAGCTGATTGTTCATTTTTGCTGTATATAAAAGGTCTTGCTATGGCCTAGAATAAAGCTCAAGAGAAACCTTATCACCACCCTATTCTGGTGAGCTTAAGATCTGACAGGAATCTCAAGTCTATGAGAAAAAGCTTCTTAAACTTTATCTGTGCTATATTGGAAAATGAGGGAAGATCATGCATTGTCTTTCTCATAGACAATTTGACATTGTGGACTGTTGAAAAATATGAACAGGAAAATGGACAGTGGTAAATGTGTAAAGCAGAAGGATAAAAAAGGAATATCTAGACCTGACCCTAGTTAGCTACAAGTTAGCTGAAGCTATGTCCAAAGATGGATGATGACATGGCTGTTATATGGAATGAGGTTTCCTCATTTTCAGCTTGAGGAGAGACTTGAAGAAAGGAAGCTGGTGGGTTTGCTGAAGGCCTGGAAGTGCTTCTGTGAAAATGGATGCCACCAGTGATGGAAAATAATAGTTAACTTCCAGGGGCACCGTAAGAACCAACCAAAGGGTTTATTTAAAGAATGGAAGTAGGGGCGCCTGGGTGGCGCAGTCGGTTAAGCGTCCGACTTCAGCCAGGTCACGATCTCGCGGTCCGTGAGTTCGAGCCCCGCGTCGGGCTCTGGGCTGGTGGCTCGGAGCCTGGAGCCTGTTTCCGATTCTGTGTCTCCCTCTCTCTCTGCCCCTTGCCCGTTCATGCTCTGTCTCTCTCTGTCCCAAAAATAAATAAAAACGTTGAAAAAAAGAAAAAAAAATTAAAAAAAAAAAAAAAAGAATGGAAGTAGTTAGATGTGGAGGACGAGAGTTAGGAAGAATGTGAAGGCAAAAGAAGAAGAAGAAAAGATAAAAGCTTAACACTTTGAGATCTTAAACTCCCTTGCTTCTTACCTTTAGACTTCTCTGTCTCAGGTCAAACACTCTAAACAACACTGCCTCTAGGAAGCCTTCTGTTCCCAGACTGAGTGAGATGTCCTCGTCTGGGTCTTTGGATGCCCAGTGTCCACCTGTTACCACAAAGGTCTGCGATGGCCTAAATTTCCTTGTCTATCTGGTAGACACTGAGCCTCATGAGTTCAGTACAATATATCCACTTCGCTCTCTACTGTAGTCTTAGCACCTAGAGCAATGCCTGATATATAGTAAATTTTCAAAGGTATGTGGAATGTATAAATTGCAGGGGGAGGGTACAGAAGCATAGCAGAGAGAAGAGTCTGATCAGAGTGGAGCAGATTCCTGGGATGACCAAGGTCCACAGGTAGAGAATTGGTACAGTTTGGGAATTCAAGAAGCACCACAGAGTGTGAGAAAGTGTCAAAGATGGGACTTGAGGGACAAATGGGGTTGATCACAAAGAGCCTTCAAGCCATGTGAAAGAGATTAAAATTAATGCTGAGGGTAGCATGGAGACATTGACAAGAAAGTTGGGAAGTAATGTTATTAAATGTGTGCGTTTGGAAAGAGGAGTGTGTTGCAGCCTGGAGACAGGGGTCCTCTTTAGAAGTAAGTTGCAGATATCTATGGGAGATATCATCATGTGTTGAACGATATAGTGCAGAAGGGATGGAGAAAGTGGACTGATATAAGAAATATTTCAGGGGCGCCTGGGTGGCGCAGTCGGTTGAGCGTCCGACTTCAGCCAGGTCACGATCTCGCGGTCCGTGAGTTCGAGCCCCGCGTCGGGCTCTGGGCTGATGGCTCAGAGCCTGGAGCCTGTTTCCGATTCTGTGTCTCCCTCTCTCTCTGCCCCTCCCCTGTTCATGCTCTGTCTCTCTCTGTCCCAAAAATAAATAAATGTTGAAAAAAATTTAAAAAAAAAAAAAAAAGAAATATTTCAAGGGTAGAGTTGACAGAGTTTTGATATTGATCAGAGAATAAGGAATAAAAAAGGAGATGTTAAGATTGATAGCTATATTTTAAGACTGACAGCTTGAGCAAATAGATACTGAATGGTGCCACTCACTAAGATCAGCAAGTAGGAGGAGTATTTTTGCACTTTTGTAAAATCAGCTTCAGGCAGGTTAAAGTCAATGCGCCTGTGCAATATTGAAGAGGGCACACCTGGAGGCAGTTAAATATGCACATCTTGAGAGCTCAGGTTAATAACGGAGCTGGAGACACAGATTTGGTGATCATGGGCAGAGGTAGTAATTAAAGCCAGGGAAACCAATGAGATTGCTTAGAGGAGTGTTTAGAGGGAAGAGACAAGAAGACAGGACTCTCCAGAACAGACACATTTGTTTAAAAGGGCAGAAGAAAGTAACCTGAGAAAGAATAGTACGACAAAGCAGACTGAGAGATAGAGACATGTCACAGAAGCAGAGGGGAGAATTAATTTCAAGTAGAAAGAGTGGTCTAAATATCAAAGTCTAGAAGAAGTTAGGTTGACAACTGAGACAGTGTCCATTAAATTTAGCACCAAGGCAGTAATTCATTACCTTGATAAGAATGGCTTCCATAAAAGTCTGGGGACAGAAGCCATATTACACTGGGTTGAGAAGTGAACAGAAGATAACAGTGTGACTACAGTGAGTATGGACAAATATTTCAAGAAGTTTGACTGAAAAGGGGAAAGTACTGACAGTTTTCAAAGCCCTTAAAAATTCAGTCCTTATGGGAAGAAATAATTGGCAACTAGTTGTGGCCTAAAACAGACCCCAAGAGCTGTGGATAATTCCAAAACCTTGGAGGCAGTGGTCTCACTGACAGAAGGCAGAGGGAAGTGAGTTTGCTGGGAAAGTTCCTTTTTAAACTCTGGTATGATGAGATGGTGTTTTCCCAAGTGAAATTACACAAAAGGAGTTAGAAAGAGGAGTGGAATTGACAAAGTGCTCTGGCTGAGATGAACATTTCAGGACTTCCATGCAGTAGTGGCAGCTAAGGCTGTTGACAGGTATAAAACTCCCAGGGGAAAAATGTGAATGAGAGGAACAGACAAGGACAATATGACACAACAGTCCACTGATATTTGTCACCTAGGAACCAGGTGCTTTTCCTGATTGGACAACTGGTAAGGGCAGTCAAGTTATCATATTTATGCAGACTTGTAAATCTTTCCTAAATTATTATGAGTATAGACAAATTTAAACTTTTGATTATTAAAGACAAGTTAACACCTCCATCCCCAGGCTACGTACTATACAATACTCTTAACTTTACAACCTAAAATTCATTCAGTAAAATTTATTCAGATACCTTTAGCATTTTCTATATTACATAATTGTTATGAACAATGTATTTCCCACCATAAACTACTATTTTCAATAACAAGTAAAATTATGACAGATATAAATATATAGTTCAGGCTCTTTCTGAATGAATGCTGAATGGTGTCATGTATTTGGGCAACAGCCAGAATGTGGATGACTGACACTTAGAAGATACAGAGCACTGTGCTAGGAAGTGGAAGCTAAAAAGGTGGGTGACAAATCATTTCAGGTCTTCAATATTTCACTAAGTACTTTTAGCTTCATTCTGCAGACTATCGAGAAATCACTGAGTTATTGTGGGCAGGAGGAGGGAGGCTTTGATCTGTGTTTTAAGAAGGTAATTCTGGTAATTAGTGGGCTCCCAAAACATATTTGCAGACTGAATGGGGAAATGATGACTGAAGCCTGCGGGGTCAGAGGAGAGATCCCATTACTGTTTGTAAGATAATGGGAGATAACGTGGAAGGTCTCTCATTCAGTGAAATCAGGGACTGAATTTGGTCAGTCATTTGCAAAACTTAACAAATCAGAGGATAATAAATAAAAGATATTTACCTCAGATATATTGTAGATTAAGACGGATATGAATACATTCATCCAGCATTATATAACAGAGCCAAGGCCCCTTGAGTACAGGTCTGTCATATGGAGTTTTGTATCATTTTTCCTGCATGAACCACACCCATGTTTCTGTTTCTTTAAATTGCAGCAAAAGGCAGTTGGAGTGCAGAATCTTAAAGAAATTTTTAAGGAAGTTTTCCCTAATCATTTTTGGCTCCCCTTCTCCATCCTTATTTGGATTATAATATTTTTCAGTCACTGGCTCTCATCTATTTTTTTCCAAAGCTTTCAACTCAATTTTCATAGGACAGCTCTCTTTCACACTCATATCTCATTACTTTACATAGTATTTAATTAAATTTTGTAACATAATAAAAAGTACAACTGCATTGACCAGCTTGAGAACAAAATACAACTGTTTCTTGGTAAATGTGCAACTAAATTGATGGGACCAGGAAAGTTCAACATTCCAGGCAATTTCTTACTAGTCTCCAGTGATAAGTGTGTGTAAGAGGATTGAAGAGTGTTATTAATGACATGATTTGACTAATTGGAGATTGGCTAGCAGAGCTTCTACTATGATGATCTGAGCTGGGGCTACAGCAATGGAAAAAGAGAGGAGAATAAATTGAAAAGGCATCAAGACTGTAGCTATGGAAATAAATAGGCTTGAGTTCAAATTCTGACTTCACCATTGAGTTATAAGCATCCAAGTTTCTGTTTTCTTACATGTAAAATAAAATTGAGCAAAATATAATGAAAGATTGGGAAAATCTACCTAATGCACTTAGCGATGTGCCTGACAAAG